TGTGGTATGAAGGGGGCGGGGGGCCAGGAGGAGGAGTTGTCTATCTGGTTGCGGTCTGAGATGCTGGACCTCCCTGCTGCTGCAGGACCAGGGACGGTCTGCTTGTCTCCATCCCACGGCAAAGGGAAACATCTCCTGGGCCTATGGCCGGATTGCCCCTCTGGGGGTGATGGTATATATGACCTAGGAGTATAGAGTATGTTTGGGGAGTGTGTGTACAGTGTTCATTTCTGTCTCCATGTTGGGCAAATGTCGAGTATTTATATGTGTGCATGAGGCTGGGAATTCATGTTTGTGTCTGTGTGTGCCTGTTTGTCTATATTTATGTGTCAGGTTGGGTCGTAAATTTCACCTCTCTGGCAACATCTCAGGCCTATTCCCACATAACACTCGGCCGAGCCGCTTCCGGGGGGTGAGGTGCCCTCGGACCTCGGGCTTCTGGGCCCGGGGCTTGGTCTGCTCTGGCATGGCTGGCTGCCGGCAGAGCCTGCGGGCATTTCACCGCAGCCCCCTGTGGCTTCCCCCTGGTTCGATCCTTGGATTCCCCAGTCTGCATGCCAAATATCCTTGGGCAAGATACTAACCCCCAATGACCAAGTTAGTATCTAGTATCAAGCCTCCGAAGCATTCATCGGAGTGTGAATGTGTGCGCATGTTGGTTAGATTGCACTCGAGTTTAGAAGTGCTTGCATGAGTGAGTGTGAATGGGGTGAATGAGACATATTGTAAACTGCACTTTGAGTACTCAGGGAGAGTAGAAAAGCGCTATATAAGAATCAGTCCATTTACAATTTACATAAAGGCAGAGTAATGTGAGTTTCATGCAAAAACTGTGTCCATTCTTGGATATGTACTCGAGAGTGGGCAGTTGAAGACTGACCCACAAAAGGTAAGAGCAGTGGTGGAGTAGCCCACCTCAACTTCTCACAAGCACTTGCAAAGGTTTTTGGGATTTGCAAATTTCAAGAATTACAGCCAAGATCTGTGGTAAATGGTTAATGGACTGGTTCTTGTATAGTGCTTTTCTACTCTATCTAAGCCACAGGTGTCGAACTCCAGGCCTCGAGGGCCGCTGTCCTGCTTGTTTGCCAACTAACCTGCCCTGTTAGCTTCTTCTTAGCAAAGCACACCTGATCCAGGTAATCAGCAGCAGGTGGGCAGGGATGTCACAAAAACAAGCAGGATACTGGCCTTCGAGGGCTGGAGTTTGACACCCCTGATCTAAGCACTCAAAGCACTTTACACAACATGCATCAATTATCCATTCACACCCATTTGCACAAGCATTTTATTCTAAGTGCTTTGTATCTAACATTCACATGGATTCATACTCCAATGAATGCATCGGAGAGCATCCATCTATCAAGCATCTGCTGACAATCAGCCAGGAATCAGCCAGGCATCCACCATGGCCCTTTAAAGGGC